CAGACCTTTTGTAAAGGTGTAGATAGATGCACTTAAAGATCCTCTCTCTCCCCTCACCCCAAATAAACTGTCACCTAACAAGCCACATCCGCGGGCCTCAGAAGTACTATTTGGAGAGAACTTCTAATTTATTTTTGGAAAATAGCATCAGTTTTATCTTTCATATGTAGGCTCTGAGAACCTTAGGCACAGCTTTCTGTAGATCTATGCACCATGTGCCACCCACACAACCTATTAAAAATATATGACGTAATTTTAAGGTTTGTAAATAAAAATATAAAAACTCAGTAATTTTTTCTCTGGATTGAACACTGCATTCTGGTGGTGAAAAGATGCACAGTAAAAAGGGACTGTACACGAAACACACATACAATTGCAGAATGGATAATGCTACTTCGTCCTAATACTCCAAACAAAACTGCTTAAAAAAGGGACAGCCACGGCAATCACCTTCAGACTTGTTCCATTCATCCTAATGCAGGATGCTTGTTAGTAACGTCTATTCAAGTTGTTTCTTAATTTTTTTTTTTTTTTTTTTTCCATCGGAAGGGTCTGACCCATGGATCCAATCCCTCAAGCCGTACCACAAACCTGTAACTCGGTGCGCTCAAGGGATGATCCCGGGGAACCGGCGGGACCCGCACCCTCAACCTTTCCCGGGGCCGACCTCCCACTCGCGGCCGGTTCCTCCTTTCCCCCGAACACCCGCTGCCGTGAAGAACCACGCGGAACGCCGAGCCGGGGGCTGGGGGCGCCGCTTGCGGAGCGGGACGTGGGGACAACCCCCCACCCCCCCCCCCAGCCTAACCCCGCCGCCGTTACCGACCCACCTCCCGCGGGCCGCCGGAGCTCCGGGAGGGGACGGGGCCACGGCCACCCCATCCCTCCCGCGTCCCCCCACGGCCACCCCATCCCTCCCGCGTCCCCCCACGGCCCCGCTCCCAGAAGGAGGCAGCAGGTGCTCCCCCCGCCCCGCCTCGCCCCCCGCGGCCGGTGCCCGCTCCCACCTCGTCTCCCCGTCCACGCCACGAAGCACAGGAGGGGGAAGGCGGCTCCGAGGCACAGCGCCGTCACCAGCGGGCCGTGCCGGAGCCGCATCTCCCCACGGGGCGCTTCCCCCCCACGCACACACACACACACACACACACGCCCGCTCGCCCCCCGCGGCTCCTTCTCGCCCGGCCGCGCCTTCGCCACCCGGGCAACTGCCGGCCGGGCGTGTCGGCGCCGCGCTGGCCTGCCCGCCCCCTGCGCCCACAGGGGCCGGGGCAGCGGGGCAGGGCATGCCCCGACCCCCCTCACCCCACACACACCCCCCCCCCCCACTTCCCCGCGGGACGGAGCCGAGCCCTCCCACTTCACAGGCTGCAGGCGGGTCCCCGCTCCTCCCGCCGCCGGGTTGCCCCACGGGAGACATCAGCCTGGGGAACGGGTGCCGGCCGCCGGTGCTCGGACCCAATCTGGAAAATCTCTTGACGTCGGCGAGCACAGGACGTGTTTTGACAAAAAAACTGTCAGGTTTTCGGCAGGTCTGACCAGCCCCGGTCACACCATCATCGCGGTTACTCGTGTTCTGTTCGTTTAAAGCCAGTGGAGCGCATGTTTCCATGCTGCTCATAAGATCGCGTCGGGAGGCCAGGATGCCGTGTACCATTAACACACACCCGTTTGGCACAGTCAGATAAAGAATCGAAGCTTTTCAGTTCATCTTTAAAAAAACCCTAACCTGCTGAAAGTCTAACGTGCACGGGTAAAGGTATTTTACTTTGGCCGTCGTGCCCTGATACACATGTGTGCCTTCCCATTATGGCAGGCACACCTCTTTTCCATTTTAGGTCCTCAGCAATCCACAAGCAAACGAAAAATTAGTCACTGTTTAGAATACATCTTCTATTACATCGTTTATAAAGGGAAGGGATATCTTATTTACCATATGCATCACCATTTCCCTCCACAAGTTAACAAAGAAAAAGCTCAAGACGCTGCTTTTGATGGAGGATCAATGTAGATTTTGGCACACTTGCAGTAAAATAGAGATTCAGAACTCAGAGGAATAAATGTACATTAAATATGTCCCATGTAATTAATAAAATGCCTTTTATTTGACTGGCCAGTGTTTTATCTGTTACAAAGCCAAAGTGAAGATGTAAATGATGTGGTCAAGGGGGAGGGCTACTGAAGATAAGAATAACAGAAATCTAACACATACTAAACTTTTAGCTTATTTTCGGAGCCAGCAAGGAAAAAACCAACCACACAACATATTTCCAGAAACTAATAATAAACCTACACCCTGTACAGGGAGCACCTGTGGAGACTGCCACTGAATGCATTTGGTGTTATTAAGGCTGATTCGAAAGCAAGCGCAGTTACTCAGCCGTGCTGAGCTGTGATCACTTACTTAATGCTGACTGCTTAGACTTAGCACGTTAACTTACTGTGAGGTAGTGCATTAGCTGTTCCTCCAAAAAAAAAAAAAAAAAAATCAAAATACCTAATCACTGAAAATCTCATGAACTTCCACTTACTTGCTTCATGCTTTCTGCCTCCCTCCCAGTGCTCTCGTCACGTTGTTTCATACACTGAAGCACTGCGTACAACCGGAATAAGATGAGCAGGGGTTTCTGAAGGGGGTTAAATGATTCCGACCAGTTTAATATCCCAGCATCAGACTTTCTGGCAATACTATATAGAACATGTTGCTGAGTAACCTCTAATACTTGGACTAAGCAAATCACTCAGTGGCCTAGTTCCATCGCAGCGGCTTACCTGCAAGAATGTCTAGGCTTGTCCTCATGCTTTGTAACGGAATGTCTTTTCTTGCTGATTGTCGCTCATTTTCGATACTGTTCTCACACATCTGTGTGTAAGCAAGAGTAGATATAAGAAAGATAAAAATAAATATTTGACAAAATATAGGCTCATAGTTGAAACAAGTAATGGATTATTTTCTGTGCGGGTTGCACTTTATATTTTTGACTGTCCTCATATAATTGACTGAACATGATGATACAGAAGCATATTTTATTTCAGGTACTAATGTTTGTGTTAAATCAGACATGCTCACTGCTGGATCAACTTGGTTCTGTAAGGAACTCAATTAACTTTAAGTCAAGTGTTTACACTTCCTTGTTACACACTGAAAAATATGATCAACTTTGGAACCTGAAGATCAATTAACGCACCTGTAATTACCGGGTATAATCACCCCTACCTTCTGCCTGATTCACCGTAGATAAGCTCTATATCTTTTTACTAACAACTTATAAAAAGCTGTGAAAAAACCTCCCAAAAATGCATGCTTTAATTTTTTTAAATAATTAAATGTAAATGGTTACTGGTTTTACTTCAAAATACAAATTTAAGTAAACATTGTATGAGGAAAAAAAAAAAAAAGTATGTGCTAGATTAAAATTCGCATCTTCTAAACTCCCACATTTCAGAAGTGCTTTAAACCAAGACCTTAACATTTTTCAAGCTTACCTCAAGAAGTCTAATTATAACACAGAGAAGTATAGTGCAATCTACTGTCAACACCAGATACTCTACACATCAGCCCTGGAGACTGGAAGCAGAGAGAACTGGCTGAGAAAACAACCATAGTGTAGTGTGTCTAATTACTGTTACAGTAATGTTTAGGACTGTCATAAACCGAAATGGAATTGGAACAAATTCCAAAATCTGTAGTAGAAATTGCTTTTGTTCCATACAAAAAGGAATTTCTATCTAAGACAGAAATTTAATTTCTACTTAATAACAGAATAATAATATTCACATGGATATGAAACTATCTGATCACTTAAAAGATGCAATGGAAAGTGAAACTCTTGAAGCAGTAGGAAGGTTTTATTTTGGTATACATCAACAAAAATCTCATCAGCTACAAACTTCGCTCGGTGCTATTTGCACAGCCCCACGCTTTGAGGCTGCACCTGCTGGGCTCCGAAGCAATTCCGGCAGCTCATGCTCCTGAGGAACTCTCTCAGAGCAATCCATGCGTGGGCATAAAGACTGACACCAAGGTCCTGACCACCCTTCCCTTCCTTCATGTCGTTACAGCTCCTCCGCCTTCCCAACATCAAACAGTAACACCCTGCTGCTGAAGCAGGGATTCTCCTGACGACAAGCTTTCAGCCTAACTGTGTTTAAATAGCGCAGCAGCAGTGCCAATCTGCCAAATCATCACATGGGAGGTGTAGCGCAATCTTTTTTTTTTCTGATCTGGATTATTTGCTCAGAGTTGTTTCCCATACACACCAGGTGGGAGCTGTAGCTTATCCAGGTCCTGCAACGCAGAAAAATTTCTTCCAATTTCTTTTATCAGTTCTTAGGCACTGGATCTCTGATAATTTTTCAAGATATTTTCTGTTTTGTTTGTCTTTTTTTTTTTTTTTTCTACCTTGGACCAACTTACATGTATATGTGATTGAACCACCATGCCATCCTGTCACCAAGTGAGAATACTTAATAGAGAGAAATATTTTTTTAGTTTGTTTTTGTCCAGTAGCACTCCAATGGTTGGAAAGTCAGATTACTCACTTACGAAGCTACACTGAAAAAACCCCGACCACCTGCCGCCTCTGAACATGCACCATCTCTCCTCATAGTTTGTAAGAGTAGGAATCAGATCTGCAAACAATTGAAGTTCATGCCTCAGTGACTCTGCCACATGAAACTCTGCAACCCTACCACTGTAGAAATCCAAAGGGAGGATGCCGAACGTGTCGGCCCACCCTCTGAAATCCTGTGGGACACAGGGCCACCAGACCTGCTGTGTGGCTTTTTATTCCGTGTAAAAGGTACTTCAATTTCCTCATATTGAAAAATGTATCAGAATCTAGTCAGGCAAGTCTGTCAGCTCCCTTTCAACCCTCCAAATTTAGCATACAATTTAGAGGAAAAGGAATTCCCTCCACTGTCCTCAGTAAACACCCATGTTTACTGAAATAATCATTAATTTTAACACAATGGAAGCAGTGACCGGAACTCAATTAAACACTTGAGCTGAACCTCCATTCGGCAACGGCAGAGCAGGATCCAGGGCAAAGCACCCCTCCCTAAAACCATCCAGCCCAACTAAATTCATAACGTCCTCCTGATCGGGGTCGCCTTCAGCTACAGCGGAGGCAAGGGACAAGCCTTCACAAGGAGTTTGCTAAACACTTCGCCCCGGCACAAGAGATCCCGGCTGTCATTTTGTGAGGCACGACGGAGGAGCCGAAGGTGCCAACCAGCGAGGCGGCAGGCTGACGCGGGGCGCCGGGTAGGAGCCGGGCCCGCCTGTGCCCGCGCAGCGCCGTGACCGTCCCCTCAGGGGAGCCGGCGGCGCGGCGGGCCACAGCCGCTCCCCGCGGCACAGGGCAGCCCCCCCCCCCCCCGCCCGGCGCTTCCGCCGCCGCCATCACTTCCAGGTCGGGGCGAGGCGGCGGAGCGGCTTCCGGCGGGAGGATGCGGGGGGCGGCCGGGCGCCCTTAGGTCGCCGCCGGGGTGGGCGAGGGGCAGGTGCCCGCTCCCCCTTACCGCACCGTGCCGCCTGCAGCGCAACGGCTGCCCGGCCTCGCGGGGAAGGGGGGGGGGGGGGGGGGGGAAAGCTGACCGTTAACGGCTCCCGGGGGCGGCGCGGGGCTGAGGAGGACGCGGGTTGTGGGGAGGCGGGAGGGGACAGCCCCCCCCCCCCCCCCGCGATGGCGGCCGGAGCAGTCGGGGCTGGGGGGGGTGTGTGTGTGTCACGCCGTGGGGGCTAACGCGGGGCTTTCTTCCCGCAGAAGATGTTGTTGTACTTCTGGGGGTTCCTGTACAGCAACTACTTTCGGTTTTGGCTGAAGTGGGTCCTGCGGCTGCTGACTCGGAAGTGCGAATTGCAGCGTGTCTGTGACGGCTCCAGGGCCGGGGCGCGGCGGACGCTGCGCGTAGGTAATGGCGGGGCTCAGCCCGGGCACCGGCGCGGCCTTCGGAAACCTCCTCAAAAAAAAGCAAGTTTGGAAAACAGTACCTGTCCCGAGCGCGGCCCGCGGCCCCCGCATCGTGTTCGCACCGTTCCCTTCTTCCCGGCTATTCTGGGAGAATTTTAAGTCGGGATGCCAGATCTAGTTTTCTTGTCTGCTTGCTTAAGGTAATTCCAGTTAGCTTCAGAAAATGAAGCAGAAATCTTAGATTTTTTTTTTTTTTCCCCCACCCCCACAGTCTTCCTATGGCTTTTTTTTTTTTTTTTTTTTTCCCCCCTGGTATTAAAAAAGCCACACAGAACAGACATGAATGCATTTTTGCAGGGGGAGGGAGGAAGAGCGAGTAAATGCACAAGTCTGCTTGATGCACAGTTTTCACCTGAAATAGCAACTGAACTACGTGCAGTTCTTGCTGTTTTAGCAACAGTTTGAGGAAGTGACTTTCCTTCCTTCGGTAATAAACACAACACCATTTCTAAGAATGGAGAAATATCAAAAGACATATTTTTGTCTTGACATCTTTTCAAGTTTCTCTTTGTACATGTAATTGATGTTTTCAAAAATCAGAGTATATTTTCAGCATCGTAATCAATTATAAAAAAAAAGTATGTAAATGAAGACTTTAAATTATGTGATACCTGCTGATTTTAAGATTGAGTAATTTTTGATTAATTGCATGTACAAGAGGGATGCAGAATTTTATACTACATGCCACAAGAATACCTACTGTCAATTACTTAAAACAGTTCAGTTCAATTTAAGTGTGAAATTTACTTCTTTTGTATTGCAGAACATTCACTGGAATCATCAAAGAATAAGGTAAAAGATAATAGAGATTAAACTGTAATAAAACCTTTCAGAGATAGATCCCAGGAAAGAATGTAGGCATTTACTTTGAGAGGGTGGTGGAAAGTAGAGGAATAAAAGGCAGAAGGGGAAGATCAGCATTTTGGGTACTGTGCTCTAGTGTTAGTCAAGGTTTCTTAAAAATAATCACATGTCTCTTCAAGTGTTTACTTCCATCTCTCTGAAAGATTACCTGCTCTTTAGGAGCAGGTCAGACAAGTCGTTCTACAGAGCTTCAGACAGGGTCAGTTCTCCGTGTCACAACAATTTCTTTTGCTGTTTTTGTAGAATCCAGAAGCGTGACATACATAATGGTATGGATAAAGCAATTAAATGCAGTGTATACAGTAGTGCCTTGTATTGTTGAAAAAACAACGTAATGCAAGTTTGCATGTAGACGTCTGACAAGCTCATTCCAATTGTTCTGTGGCAGGTAGACATAAGCTAACACTTGATTTTGTTTATCTTGAACAAAACTTTTCCTCTTTAGACAGTGAGGTGGCTGCATTCTCCCCTTTTCTAGCTGACTGCAGTGTGATGTTGAGAGGGAATTGGTAACTGCTGCAAGTATCTTTGTCACAGTAGAGCACAGTATGGGTGGGTCTTTTGGCATCTCCTCATTAAATGATTATATCGAATATAGTAATGTTCAGTTTTAAAAGAGTTAACCTTTTCCTTTACTGAAATGGAGCTGCTTTTGCATTAGCATGAATTGAATTAAACAATGCATTGTGACCATGCAAAGTTTAGAAGACCAAGTTAAATCATTGTGATTTTAGGTGAGCAGTGTATAATTATTAGTAGTATTTGCCCTTTACTCTAGAAATCTGCAGAATAGCTTACATTACAGTTGTTGGTTCCACCCCAGCACTGAAGTCTCCACTTCATTAGTTCACTGTCTCCTAACTTGGAAGCATTTCCTTATTGAAGTTTATCACTTTTGCTCCTTGATTGCTGCATCCGTTTCAATTGGATTAGGAAGAACATGTTTCAATTCAGCATTTGAAAGCAAAGGAGGACCTAGACTAACCAACTGTCCAGCTTTTTGTTTAATCTTTATGGGAACTCTGGGTAGACACTGTTGCTTACAGTCTGACAAAGTTACAAATTATGCTTTTATGTAATTATCACAGATCTTTTATATGCTATTTGAGCCCATTTATTGTAAACATTTGCAATAAATTGACTGTCCTCATTTTATAGTAGAGAATATGTACGTGGCAGGTATGCAGAAGCTTAGAAATAAGAATAAAGTGATGATAGATTTCTGCATTCCTCATGATGTTTTCTACTGTGTTAACTTCCTAGGTTTTAAGAAATGCTGTACATGCTGAGGAAGCTGAAGTGGAGAAGTGTGTCAGAGATGTAATGAAAGAAAAGAAAATTGAACAGAAGGATACAGGGTATGTTTGGAACCCAAACGTAAGTTCTTCATGGCAGATAATCCTGACTTCTTGGTGTGTTCTTGCAGTTGCTGAATCTGATACAATATTTAGGCCATTCAGCACAAATCTTTAGAATGAAATTGGAAAATAAGGTATGGTTATGTCCTCTACAGTTCTGGAAAATAAATTGCAAACTTTTAACTGACATGGATTTGGGATAACTGCTTTTCTATCTTGCACGTCCCTTCTGTTACTCCTTATTTCTAAGTAATATGATCATTGTGTAGGTTTTAACTAAGCTGTGTAACTGCTTAGATATATTTGAGATATATAGTGATGCCTGATTGATGTTTGCATTCATCTGCAAGAGTAATTATGAGTGATAGGAAAAACTGTGAGCAGTCAGAATTTTAAAGTTGAATGAAATACTTCTTAGGAGTTATAAGTATTTCTGACAAAGTTTCACTTCAGGATTTACGAAAAGTTTGGGAGTAGGTGAAGGTATAGGTGTCAGGATGATATATGGTGTTTTCTTGCTAAGTTATTTTTTTTATTTAATAATTTAAGTGAATAGGGCCTGACTACAACACTGGAATTGGCTAGAGTTTTTTTAAGTAGAAATGTGATCCATATAGCAGTATATTTAACCAATATACTGTAGTTTGAAAGATAAGCATAAAGCACTTCCTATAATTCTAGCGTTTACGTTGTATTAACGTAAGAAAGGTCTTATCAGGTAGTTCAAGCAAGAATTTATGGCTAACTATGCCTCTCTAATAGCTTCTGTGTGGTGTTTTGTTATTTCAGGTTTAAGACAAATCTGCATATATCCCTACTGCAGATATCAGGTTATAAAAAACTTTATTTGAATGTGGAAAATCTGAGGAAGGTCCCGTATGATTCGGATAATGACGAACATGAGGAACAGTTAATTGAGGTGAAAATAATCTTTTAAATACAAAGGTGTTTGTTTATTCCCCTCCAGGTCTAATAGTTTGAATTAATTTGTTGGTAGCATTCTTACTAGCTGGCCTATTTAAAGCTCTTTTCTATTTGTGGACTGCTAAGCCATCACAGAAGTGACACATTAAAATACAACATCAAAGCAAAACAAGTTAGTAAACAAGAGTTTCTTGCACTGGGATTATTTTGTGCGGAATCAGACATTACAACAACACAGAAGTAGCAAAATAATTTTGTAACAGGTCACTGGAGGATCTTAACTAAAAAGATATTTAACTTTATGCACATGTCTAATTTTGTAAACCAATAATTACTAAATAAAAAAGACGCTAGTGTTTCCTTATTGCTGCATCCCAGTCAATGTCAAAGGGGATAGTTTAATGCTGCAATATAAAAACTATCAGTAATGTTTTTTAGGTAACAGTAAATAAGAGCAAGCTAATACTGTAAGATTGCTTGAGACTTTTTTAAATAGCTTCTACAGTGCAAATATATTATCACGTAATCTTCTTTGCATTTCATAGTTAACCTGCTATGCAAGCCCCAACATTGCTGTGTTAAGTAAGCATTCATTGAGAATTTATTTCTGTTTATAGCTGTCCTGTCAGAAAATAACACCTACATTAATTTCAGAAGTGAAACAAGTCTTAGTTTCTTTAGTATTGGTACATTGGCTTTGTCTGTGAAGGGAAATTTTCACTTGAAAATGATTACATTTAACATTTAATAATTGCTGAAATAAGCTGTCGTAGTACAACTCCAGATTGCCACTAACAGAAAAGAACAGCATGCAGACTGTATCCTGTTCCTTGGAGAATGGTTTCTAATGTGCAGCAGCAAGTGTTGTGAATTATGTGACCTGGAATACTTCAGCAGCTGTACATAACATGGAAGCATATTTGTGCAGCTTTGGAATTTGCTGATGCCTCATGAGAATCTGAAGGCCAGGATCACCAAGCAGTGGTGTGATATTGGCTTCCAAGGTGATGATCCCAAAACAGACTTCAGAGGAATGGGCCTGCTGGGGTTAGTGAATCTGGTGTAAGTGGAAAGAGTATTTCATTTCTGTTGTAACTAATTTTCAATATCTTATTTATTTTCTCTAGTTAGTGCTATTTCTATTAAAGACTGAATAGAAGCAAATAGAAATAGTGGTGAAAAATAGTATTTTCTAAATAAGTCAACATTTCTAGCAGCTGCACTTCTGTAAATGTGTGATTGGGTAAGGGCCAACAAGCCAGGGGAGGAACAGAAAGTTGCCCAAGACACCTTAGTGTTTTGTTATGTGATAGATTTGATAGGTTATAACTTAGAAAGTAACTTGTCAAAAGCTTTAAAAATTCCTGAATTAATTACTCTAATGAAAAATAAGCAGGTTTGCATAACTTTGCTAAGCTAATTTGTGGACTTGGGTGAACTTCATAGTTGATGTTCAGGTCACAATGATTTTTTTTTTTTTTTTTTACTGTATCAGTTCCTGCTGAATATAGTCTAATTTGCTGCCTTTTCATTGGTTTTCATTTTGTGCTATTTTTCAGTACACAGTAGTATTCAGCTTTAGTTTAAATCTACACATTTTGATGTTGAACACATTAATATTTTTTTATAGGAACTTAAAAAAAATAAAGATCCTGTTTTTGACAGGTATTTTAGTAAGCATTACACCGATGAAGCTCGTCAGATCCTTTCCCGTTCAAATCACCCAAAGCTGGGGTAAGTCACTGTATGTCTTTTTCTGGCTTGTTCTGCGTAGGAGCTCATGTAAAGACTGCCAAGTATGTGTGCTGAAAATAAAAATATGTGTTCTTTTCCACTAAAGGATAAAAAAAAACCAAAAACCAAACAAAAAACAGCTGAAGTAGAAAGGTGTGAGAAGCCAAAGAGAAATCAATTTCAGGCGGGGAGCTACATGCAGTTTTGTTTTGGGGGGTTTTTTGGGGGGTTTTTGTTTTTTTTTTTTTTTGGAATAGACTTGTTAGGACAAAAATGTTACAAAATAGTGGCTTTGGTTAACATAATAAACACCTTTAACATCAGTTAGCTTTATTTGTAATAGGTTTAGATTAGATTTACAAATGAATACTTAATTTTCACCTTCTTACCGATCCTGTGTTGGGATGGTATAGATTATCTCTTAAGGTCCCTTTTCCTGCTAGGTTTCTGTTCTGTATTAAGTATACACAAATAGATATTTTGTTCTTGTTCAACGTTAACTTCATTTTTGAAAACTTTGCATACTAAAACATTTAGCTCATTTTACAAGGAAATATACTCTAAACCCAGTCAGATACAGAGGAAAGCTGGTAAACCTGTGTAGATCATCTGATCCAGCTAGGCTCCAGTTAACTCAGCCACCTACCAAGAACAGGAAGCTTTCATGACTTCAGTTGTAAATAATATTACATTGTCCAGCTAGGTTATGAATAGGATATCCGGGACATTAAGTTAAATTAAATACCCATATCATTGACACAAATTAATCCTTTTTTTTCCCCTTCTTCCAGAAATTAAGAATTTCTTCTGAGGTGCTTTCTATACCATGTAACACAAAAAAACAGACTTTTTCAGCTTGAAGAACAGGTTGAGATGGCCATTCCATTTATACTGTAATAAAAATCAGACATAAAAAAAGTTAATATTGCAGCAGATTTAATGATTTCAAATGAGCAAATTGAGGTCCATGTTGATTAACCTTACCATCTTGTTTATTTCCTAATGGAGACATTTGCCATAGTATTGTATAGCTTTTAAAAAACTTTTACATGGTTGGATGCACCAGGAAATGGAAAGAGTGGTCTGTAGGCCGGAGTCAGCTCGTCAACAAGTATCATAGGAAAAATTACTGTTCCCTTAGCACAGACTGTTTCGGGGAAGCTTTTAAGGCCTTTGATCCATAAAGTAAAACATGACCTGTGATTGGTGTTGCAGATATTCTTATGCAATAGTTGGAATCAATCTGACAGAAATGGCATACAGCTTACTAAAGAACGGTGCTTTAAAGTCTCATCTGTACAACATGGTCGCCGGGTTGCCGCAGATGGAGCACTTCCATCAGTTTTACTGTAAGTATCTGTAGCCTCTTTAGTCCACACTACCAGGGGAGGCCTACAACAGAGAGTTTAGGTTTTGTTGGAGTGCGTTTCCACTCTTTTCTCATTAGCCAAAGCAAGCTGTTTATCTTCTGGGTCAGGTATTGAAAACGCACCTGATGGTTAAACACTGTGCTACAGAAATGTACATTTAAGGGATAAATTTGGGTGGCTTTCTATGTATTGGAGACCACAGTCTGAAAACTCAGTATTTGCAGACTTACTTATTTTTCATTATTACAGCGTCCAAAAGCTTGCTGTTGGCCAGAATGGGATACAGTCCCTATTGTAAGGGATTGAATAGAGTCTAAAGGACCATTCTAGGTCTAGCTAGATCAAAGCAGAGAATTGTGGAGGTCATTTTTGCAGCAGACCTGTATTTTATTTTCTTCACAGGTTATCTGGTTTATGAGTTTGACAAATTCTGGTTTGAAGAAGAACCAGAAAGCATTATGCACTTCAACCAGTACAGAGAGAAATTCCATGACAAAATTAAGGGGCTTCTGCTGGATTGTGATGTGATACTAACCTTACAAAATACAAAGAAACCTTAACTTGTCTGCAGTGAAGTTCTGCATAAAAAATGGAATTACACATTTGGATAGAAGTTTTGCGTGTTTTGCCAAAAACTGTTTAACAATAGAACTTCTTTTTTACATTTAAAAAAAAAATGATCAAAATTCAGTTAAGAAAGCTTGGACAATCAACCTCTGTTTACAGGTCTATATATGCTATTCTCCAAAGGACAGCTTTGTTTTTTTTTTTTTTTTAAAAAAAAAAACCCCAATCAACAAACCAACACAGAGAACAACCCACAGATCTCAAGAGCCTCTGGATCACTTGCTTTCACAATTTCTTTTATACTTCTTGGTGCAGGTACATGAAGCAGGTATTTATGGTGCATCATGTTTTCCATTAATAGGTTTGACTGGTCTTTTAAAAACTTCTTTTAGTTGAAATTACTCCAGTTTTAGATCTTTTGTGTTCTTGTTCTGTACATGTAGTTGATCGTTCTCGTAGTTTTTAAATTTCTTTGTAATGAAGAGGTCCACAAAGGGAATGTATTGGTCACTTACGATTTTGGAGAAGAGGCTTAGTCCCTCAACATACTGACATACTAGAAATTACTTTTGGTTAAGGAAGCATTTGTCTGTGGTTTTGTACCAGCAAATTCATATACTTGGAAGAAGCTTAGTTTGCGAACAAACAAAACCACAAATCATCAGTGTAAGGATCAGATCCTTAGACTGAAGCTACTCCTTCTAAAAATATTCCTACTGTAAAAATTTCAGTTCTTTCTAGTCTGGCTTCAGCTGCACAGGCTGCTTGACTTTGTGTCTGTTGTAAGCCCTTTCTTTTAGCAGCTAATGGCATATTCTCAGTGGGAAGTACAAGAGAGTTTAGCCCTTTTATAATGTTCACTCATTAAAAACCTTTATTGCAGCTGCAGTCTCTATTTTTTGAAAATAAATTCACACCTGAGTACAAGTCTCTAGCAAAGATCTATTTTCCGTGGAAGGGATGCAGCTGTGAGATGTTCCTTAATCTTGGCATCCTCAGACAATCTAGTCAATAGGACTTCACGTTTATATTGTGACTAATTACTGCTTAAAGCAACTTTAAACAGATCTGGTATGACCATCACTTCATTTTTTAAAACTTACTATTAAATAAGTGCCTTCTGCTTTATTCGATCAGTGTTTTATTTTAATTCTGTAACCAGATCATAGCCTTAGAAGCTTGAGTTATTTGAGAAAGAATCTTTCAGTATATACCTAAATAGCACACTGTGGCACAAAATTTGTATGCTAATAGAAGCTTTCATGCCTCTTTTTTTTTTTTTTAAATCATCTCAGGTAAATTAGTTAACTTCTAGTCAATGACTAATCATGAAGAGATTCCTGAACAATACAAATACTAAACACCAGAAGAAAAAAAAAGACAACTCCCTTTTTGTAATGAGTGGTGTTACAGTACATAAGTATTAATTGGTTTTTATAATGTGTAATACTACATCTCAATGGAGATAATCAAAAACCCAGCTGGACGTGGCCCTAGGCAGCCTGCTTGAGGTGACCCTGCTCTGGGCAGGGGCTTGGACTAGGTGATCTCCAGAGGTGCCTTCCCACCTCAGTAATTCTGTGAGTCTGTGCTGTGTAACCAGGGACTTCTTGCACTGCACCCACCCAGCTGCTCTTGATCCCTTAAGCGCTGGTGATCTCTCACTTGTGGGAAATCAGCGTAGGCAGTATGTGTGTAGGAGGTAACAAAGTTCTGTTTCCCTTTTACGATACCTTAGGTATAGACGAGAGTTAAACTTGGTAATTGTTTTAACAAGTGCAGGGTGGAGAAGGGTTCATTTCATCAGTGTTGGGTTGATGCTGTGCTACTAAAAAAAAAAAGAAAATGATGTGCAGATGCTTGTGAGGGAGAGTACGGATGGTTATGCTGTGGCTTGTAAGCTGAGCAGCTAAACGGGCTAATTAGGTACAAAACTGACAACAGGAAGCCTAGTTCTTCTGCTACTCCCAAGTACTTGTGTCCTGCAGTTGTTACCACTGAAAAAGCTGAGATCCTGCAGAGAGTGTTTCGGGATTCAGGTCCTGCAGTGAAGCTTTGTTTCTCTGACCCTTCTAGATAGTGGATATCCCTAAAATCTGAGGAAGGGAGTGGAAAGCAGATTCTCCCAGTGGCTGAGATATTAGTTGTCTTACTTTCTAGCTCCAGCTTTTATCACGTTTGTATTCCTTCATTAATAATTCTTGCTATTGCTTGTAGATCTCCCTTGCAAGCAACACGAGACAGACATTTTGAATTTCAGAAGTAACTCCAGTATGTTTAGCAGCAGCAGATCCCACCTTTTTTTTTTTTTTTTTTTTGGCAACAGGTGGAAAAATAATCTACACCCTTGCCCTTGTATTTCCAGCCTTGAAATTTTCCCCTGGCTCCTTGTTCAATCTACTGAGGCTTTTAAAGCCCAGCCATCAAGTTTCAGATTTCCTATCATACACCTAAGATGTTTTAGTGTAGACATAGATTGACCCCGTTAAGAGATGCATCTTCATTAGCTTTTTTTATTTGAAAAAAAACAAAAACATCAAAGTGTGAGCTGGGAGTAAACTGTCAGTATACAAGGAGAAAAAGTAAACCCAACCATCATCAGATGAGCGAGATATATGGGAACGCATTAGTTTGCATGTAGTAATTAAGGTGAATGTTTCTGTTAGGCTCTAATACACCTTCCCAGTAAACAGTTAGAATTTGCATGTACTTTTGTACAATCAAGTAGCCCAGTCCTTCGGTCTGGGAGTCACTCACTGTATGTAGACTAGTACTGGGTGTGGGTGTCCCCTTTTTGCACCAGTGTAGGCTAATTGTATTGTGGTGGTAGCTAGAAAATATATGGAAAAAGGTAAAATTGTGTTTAGGAAAGGAAAGAACAGTGTTTTACTAGTCAGCGGTATTTTATACTCTTGTGGGGTGACAATCCCAAGGTTATGGAAGATGTAAAATGGAGGTAGGCCACCTTTCTGCAAATTGATGTAATCAATTTAACATCAGAATTTGTTGGTCATGGTTTATTCTAAGAGTCTTAAAACCTTGGTAAATTCTCTTGTTATTTATTAACTGTCATGTTTTAAAGTATGTATTATCTTATTAGAATTTGCAAGTACTGTTAGTTTTCTAACTTGCTGCCTCTTTAAAGCATTCACTGTGTGAAAGCTTATATGCAATAGTAATTTTAGAAAAAAAAAAATCTAAAACTGAAGACAACAAGGTGGTTCTTGAAATTTTTTGTTGCTGTTCCTGTAGCAACCATTTAACAAACTACCTCCACTTTTGTTGTTTAGTGTATGCTTGAAACATGGTGCCACTCTGAACAAATTAATCTGAAGATAAGTAGAAGTTTACCACAAGCAGAAGTAATCTAGTCTTTCAACACATTGCTTCGTAAGTAACCAACTTGATTGGAAAGTGATTTGAAGACAGTGCTACTTAGGAGGAAACAGAGAAGGTTTTAAACTGGTTGTGCTTCTGTCATTTGATACAGCAGTGTAAAGAATAGGGCATTTTGTCCTAAAGGACAAGAGGAAAAGGGGCCAATTTAAGCACTTCAGATAAATAGTTTTGGATTTTCACTCTTTGAAAAACAAAACAGAAAAATGGAAACAGAAAATTAAACACACACAGACAAAGCCCCAAGCATTAATTTTCCAGATTTTCCATCCTAGTTTAAATAAACATTTTACAAAAAATAGTGGTTAGCCTTGTTTTAAGAATTATCGTGATGAAAAAGTTTGTATTTAGTTAGGTGGGAGTTCAGCAGTCAGTATTCTTGAAAATACTGCTAGTAATTGTGTGGTAAAGATGTAACCTGTTGTTTCTTTCTGTCATACTTGTTTTGTGTTGCTGTAGTACAATGGTGATCAATCTTTGGGCTGATGTTTCTTGTGCCAGTCTGTATATTGTCTTTCTCTAGGGAAGAAAAAAAAAAAAACAACAAAAAAACCCCACAAACAACAAAACAGCCCAAGAGAGCCTGTGGGCAGTTTCTTATCACACTGTGCTTAGATGGCTGCATACTAATAGACATTTCTGTTTACCACAATATAAAAGCAATAATGTAAACTGTGATGTCTGTGTAATAGAAAAAGATGTTTACAGATGGTAACAAATAAACAATGAGTTATTCCAAAATATTGTCAACATCAGTGTGTCAGGGCCTACTGGAAAATGTAAGTGACCAGTGAGCCACGCTCTCAGCTCATGCACGTGCCCTGTGGTACAAGAGAATGCTTTATCCTACTTTCTTCCTCCTGGGGTTTTTGTGTGCTTGATTGGTTTTGGGTTTTTTTCTCCAACTCTAAGAACTTGTTTAGAGGTCTCCATGGTTCTGGCATTTGTGCCTAGGAAAGGCATTAGTAGGAAATAAGGCGGTAGCACCAACTGTTGGAATGGTAGGCAGCAGAACGTCTGTGTGTATGGAAGCTGAACTGGAAGACGCGATGACAGCTGGAACAAAGGCTGGCTGGCTCACATACCTTTTCTAGTTTTTAAATCACCATCCAAGATACGTACACTTTCAATCATACACCAGAAGAAAGGAATAAGATTTAAGTCTGACTGAGATTTGTACAAAAACGATTTGCTTTGAACTCTCAAGATTAGTCTGATACCACAGAAACACAGGCTTAGGTGCGAGTCCGCTTGAAATCTTACATCTCTTGTAACGGGAAGCTGCACAATGGGAAAGTCCAAGTTGGACACAGATGATGAATTTGGGTCTATTATGGCCTTTAACACTCCCTCAACCCCCCCTGGCCTTTGTCAACCTGTCCCTCCTAACCGCAGCCCCAGCTTCTGCCTGTGCCCCGGGCCGGCTATGGGTGGCCTGGGCGGCGGCCGCCCTGTCTCCAGATTGCTTGGGTCCATACCACAGAAAGGAGACCTCACTCGCTTGATGTGCAGCATGTATGGAAAGCACGTGGGGTTGGAAGGAGGCAGAGAACAGTTCAGCTACAGCACTCCATGGCTCTCCAGCGATGGGCCGGAATTTCTGTTACGGAATGTCAGCGAATATTACACAGGTAGGCCGCCATGCTCTGCTGCGTGGGGTAGAGATTCATTACTGCTTTATTGCACTTGCTCTTGAAATCCTCACTTTAAAAGAAGCTCTGTTTTAAAACAACCCCCAAAACCCTCACAACACAAAAACCCAGCCAAAACCCCAAAAACCACAATGAGGATTTTGTTTGAAAGACCTGGAAGTTAACTCTTGTAATTAAGTTAAAGCGCAGGTGTTTTTGCTCAGGAGAGCAAAACTCCAGGAATAAAAACTGGGAGTTGGACAGCTTTTCTGGAGAAAGAAATAGAAATGTTTTAAAGTCTTTTTTTTTTTTTTTAAAAACCAAGAAAGTATTTTTACGTCAGTATCTTTCACCATGCCTTCATCTCCATACAAGCTATGTTAAATAATTTCCTTGTTTTTTCAGATCCGTTTGTATGTCTCGGGTAGCCTTTGTTTCTACTCCTAAATTTGAGACCAAACACTTCTATTAATGTACCAAAGTGAGCACTAGATCTCAGGTGTAGCAATTTTTATTAAGAAGCATAGAGCTGGCCCTGCACTGTAGAAACATCACACTTCTCCAAACCCCAAATGTCAAAAGTTGGTCAGTTATGCAAATACCAGTTATTTTAGAAAATGGTACGAGGAAGCAGCTATTCAGGAAATTTGAGATATTGAGTACTGCAGAAAAGAGATCCAGTAAATTATCTTACGACGTGGTGTGTTTTGAGATGTTACCCGACACCATTCATTGGGAGCGTCCCGCACTGCGGTCAAGACCAACCCCCTGTGTTTCACCCCCTGTATTCCCAGCACTGAAACGCTCTTGCCCAGCAGCGCTGCCGGTACCAGCACGTGTCACACGTTTCTGTTATTAGCTGTGTTCCAATGTAATGTTCACTGCCATAGTTTCGTTCTAATTATTTGCTGTTGGGCTAGTTTATATTTTCACTGTTGAAGAAAACAGCCTTTTAAATGGGCATTAAAAGTCACAACTGCCACTTGAAATACTCAACATTTGACTCAAGACTATCTTCTAGTGGAAAGAACTAGAAACAGCAGAAACGTTTTCTTCCACCCAGAGGATAAGGCCGAGCAATAAATACAACGGCTTCACCTTCCTTCTTGCTGTAACATTACACCTCGGCGGGTGGGCAAACCGGGGAGCCCTAACCGCCGAGCCAGCGGCCAGGCCGCCGAGGCACGCTCCACCACAGGTCAAGCTAACCCACCAGCCTGCACGCTAGTCCTCAGTGTTTCCTCATTTTTTCCCAATTTTTTATTTAGTCTAAGCCCGACTGCTCCATTTTTTTTTTTTTTTTTTTTTTTTTTTGGAAACAGAAAGGGATACACCACCACCAAATGTTTTTTACAGTTACTATTTCAGTTCTGATAAAAGGCATCTTCTAGCTACAGTGTACCTCATTATTGCTGAATTACCAAGAACCAGAACAGGCAAGAGATGGGTTAAGTCACTCACAGGGGTGCCAGAAGTTTGGAGAGGAACAGCACTGGAGCTCATCAACGCGCGTACACCCCAGCCTGGCGGGGGCCTGGTGGGCCACGCTCCCCCCGGTGCCTTCTCTGACCTATTGCTTTTCCACTGAGGCAGGTTGTTGGCTTACAGCACTTACACATCAGCTTCACTCTCTTGCTCTAAGTATCCTGATGGAAATCAAACTCTTTCCAACAGTTTCGTGCTGGTTTCTGTACCGCACCTACTGTTGTGAAAGCCAATTATCAGTTCCAAAAGGCAAGTTTAAAGCTGAGTAATGAAGACTCAGTGGCAGGAGGGATCCCAAAGCTCGGAGAGAGCCCAGCTGAGGAACCAGACGTGGCTGCTCAGCTTTCCAAGCAAAAGCACCATCTCTTTGCTTGACCAGCTGCTTTAAGGCTGTTCCCTTTCTCTCCCACAGCCACCCTGCACACCACACCAGCCTCCACCACCTTAATTCACCGCCACAACATCTGACACGGAGCATCTACTACAGCGGAAGCTCCAGCATCGCGGCGTAGGAACCCCAGAAACGCTTTTCTCTTTACAACAGTTTTGATGGCAAATTTTCAGTAGGTTTAACAGGCCACATGACAAGCTTTCTGTCTGCTTGCCCAAACCTCGTGTGACACAAACCTTTACAAGTCTCAAACACACCCCTCAGCCCCAACCCCAAGAATTCAGGAGCTGTAAGATGCTACAACGAGGGAAATGAGCACCACTAAACTTTCACATGCTATCAGCATCTGAGCAAGTTGAAAGAAGAAAACTCGAGTAAAATGTTTCTTTATGGCTTTTTTTTTTTTTTAAATAGAGAAAGCTCTATAAAATAACCTCCTGCTCCTCCATCATCTGCTGTCTCCTAGCAGGCAGTACCTTGTTGGCACCAGGCTCCTAGCAACCTAGGAAAGCAGCACACGTCAGTGTCCAGTCACGTATTTCAGCTCTAAAGAGGAAAAATAGTATTTTTTTTTTTTTTAGCCCCTGACTGCGAAACAGCCGTAACTAAACTTCACAGTTCACAGATTAAAGAGACTCTCACAAAACATACAAACCCCAAGACCCAGGCACTTCTAAAGCCGTACCAACTTGCTTGTGTAGCATGCCTGCACATACAGATAAAACTTTAAAAACAGTCACTCACGTTTTCTTGAAGGTTTCACATCACTCTACGCTGGTCAGTTGAGCTCTTCTGTAGCTTCTCTCTCAGCAACTCCCATCCAGCTACTAAAGACCAGCTCCCAGCAGATCTTGCCATCAAATAAGTGACTACCAGGTGGCCATTTGGTGTGATCCTAATCAGGTGAGCAGCCTCACCCAAAAAAATCTGGAGAAAACCAGCTCACCTGGCTGCTACCTATAGCAAAGCCATTCTTAAAGATGAGCTGGCTTACACTTCAGAGCTTTGCTGACATGGTCAGCAAGGAAGGGAAGGCTACTGGAGCAAAACGAAGTTGCATTGTGAAATGGCTCCCACTACACCAGAGATCCACTTGTGGATGCCTCTTCTTGTTACAGGAGTTGTAACAGCAAAACAATTTTCATGATAGGTTGTACCCCCAGCCCTGTGGGTGGGGTGTGGAGCAGAGCTGGCCAGCCCTAAGGAGATAAAGAAATGTTTTTCATCTGTGGTCTGTGCGTCTCTAGGGGGGTGTGGGAGAGCGGTGACAGGCTTAAATTCACTTTACCAGCACAGACACATAAAAGATAAATAGTTTAGGGATCTGCAAACTTAAGAAGGTCAACAGCCTGGCAAAGGATATTAACCCTTAGTGCTGAAGACTTCTGTGGTAACTTATTCAGCTGCCAGGCACCGCAGTAAAGCACCCTGCTCGGGCCTGGGCATCTTAAGTTAAAGTCATATTCTTCCAAATGGTGATTACGGCTTCAAATGAATATCATTATTTGATACATATGTAATCCAGTCTGCATAGTCTCATATGCAGAAAGACTATATTGCTTTTTCTTACTGTCACATGTAGTCTACATATGGCTAAATTAGAGAGGGGAGAACTCCCAACAAAAGAAAAAGAAAACAAGACAAGGGATATATGAGTAGCACTCAGAAATTAACAGACAGGTTTTGCAAATTAACTTTATATACACACAAATAGACATGAGGTTTCAAAAATGTAATTCACTGAATACAGCACACCCACGTCTGTTCTGTTACTGCCACAGTTTTGAGGCTGATAGCTTTCCAGTACCCTGTAAAAACATTCTAATATTTAAAGCCTTACAAGCACACCTAGTGAGCTATAGCAACGCATAGATGGGGCATAAAGTATCTGGGGGTCTAATGGGTAGTAACAACTGTTGTCACCCAATGCGAGCATAGCAAGGAAAATTGTTTAATTAAATTGGGTGGTGTGAAAGAAGCTCGCATGGGCTGCTTGTTGCAGATGGAATTAAAAACATTGAAGTGTTAAACAAAACCAGGCATGGAAACAACAAATGTTTTTCTTCTGAAAGCTGGTGTTGAAGATCCAAAGTAATTTGTCTGTGTAATAAAACACAATCACCTACTTTTCCCTCTAGCATGACTTTAATAGTTAAAAATCAAATCTGTGCAGAGTGTACTTTATTTGTTCACATTACCTATTTGTGGTTAAAAACCACTTCATCTGACAGTTT